CCCTATATACCGCCTCCTCATGCTGCTGCCAGGTCCAGAGTCTCTCATGGGTCCCTGTACGGCCTCCCATTGCTGCTGTCTCCATCGCCACACTCTGCCATGTGCCACTTTCAGGTCTCTCCTCACACTGCTGGTGTGTTGAATTTTTTTGACATAGGGTGCTGGCAGATACGGGCCTCCATAGCTGCTGCCAGGCCCCTAATCTGCCATGGGCCCCTATATACCGCCTCCTCATGCTGCTGCCAGGTCCAGAGTCTCTCATGGGTCCCTGTACGGCCTCCCATTGCTGCTGTCTCCATCGCCACACTCTGCCATGTGCCACTTTCAGGTCTCCTCACACACACTGCTGGTGTGTTGAATTTTTTGACATAGGGTGCTGGCAGATTACGGGCCTCCCTATAGCTGCTGCCAGGCCCCTAATCTGCCATAGGCCCCTATATACCGCCTCCTCATGCTGCTGCCAGTCCAGAGTCTCTCATGGGTCCCTGTACGGCCTCCCATTGCTGCTGTCTCCATCGCCACACTCTGCCATGTGCCACTTTCAGGTCTCCTCACACTGCTGGTGTGTTGAATTTTTTGACATAGGGTGCTGGCAGATTACGGGCCTCCTATAGCTGCTGCCAGGCCCCTAATCTGCCATAGCCCCTATATATACCGCCTCCTCATGCTGCTGCCAGGTCCAGAGTCTCTCATGGGTCCCTGTACGGCCTCCCATTGCTGCTGTCTCCATCGCCACACTCTGCCATGTGCCACTTTCAGGTCTCCTCACACACTGCTGTGTGTGTTGAATTTTTTGACATAGGGTGCTGGCAGATTACGGGCCTCCATAGCTGCTGCCAGGCCCCTAATCTGCCATGGGCCCCTATATACCGCCTCCTCATGCTGCTGCCAGGTCCAGAGTCTGTCATGGGTCCCTGTACGGCCTCCCATTGCTGCTGTCTCCATCGCCACACTCTGCCATGTGCCACTTTCAGGTCTCCTCACACTGCTGGTGTGTTGAATTTTTTGACATAGGGTGCTGGCAGATTACGGGCCTCCTATAGCTGCTGCCAGGCCCCTAATCTGCCATAGGCCCCTATATACCGCCTCCTCATGCTGCTGCCAGTCCAGAGTCTCTCATGGGTCCCTGTACGGCCTCCCATTGCTGCTGTCTCCATCGCCACACTCTGCCATGTGCCACTTTCAGGTCTCCTCACACACTGCTGGTGTGTTGAATTTTTTTGACATAGGGGGTGCTGGCAGATTACGGGCCTCCTATAGCTGCTGCCAGGCCCCTAATCTGCCATGGGCCCCTATATACCGCCTCCTCATGCTGCTGCCAGGTCCAGAGTCTCTCATGGGTCCCTGTACGGCCTCCCATTGCTGCTGTCTCCATCGCCACACTCTGCCATGTGCCACTTTCAGGTCTCCTCCTCACACTGCTGGTGTTGAATTTTTTGACATAGGGTGCTGGCAGATTACGGGCCTCCCATAGCTGCTGCCAGGCCCCTAATCTGCCATAGGCCCCTATATTACACGCCTCCTCATGCTGCTGCCAGGGTCCAGAGTCTGTCATGGGTCCCTGTACGGCCTCCCATTGCTGCTGTCTCCATCGCCACACTCTGCCATGTGCCACTTTCAGGTCTCCTCACACACTGCTGGTGTGTTGAATTTTTTGACATAGGGTGCTGGCAGAATTACGGGCCTCCATAGCTGCTGCCAGGCCCCTAATCTGCCATAGGCCCCTATATACCGCCTCCTCATGGCTGCTGCCAAGTCCAGAGTCTGTCATGGGTCCCTGTACGGCCTCCCATTGCTGCTGTCTCCATCGCCACACTCTGCCATGTGCCACTTTCAGGTCTCCTCACACTGCTGGTGTGTTCCATTTTTTGACATAGGGTGCTGGCAGATTACGGCCTCCCATAGCTGCTGCCAGGCCCTAATCTGCCATGGGCCCCTATACCGCCTCCTCATGCTGCTGCCAGTCCAGAGTCTCTCATGGGTCCCTGTACGGCCTCCCATTGCTGCTGGTCTCCATCGCCACACTCTGCCATGTGCCACTTTCAGGTCTCCACACACTGCTGGTGTGTTCCATTTTTTGTCATAGGGTGCTGGCAGATTACGGGCCTCCCCTAGCTGCTGCCAGGCCCCTAATCTGCCATGGGCCCCTATATACCGCCTCCTCATGCTGCTGCCAGGTCCAGAGTCTCGTCATGGGTCCCTGTACGGCCTCCCATTGCTGCTGTCTCTCCATCGCCACACTCTGCCATGTGCCACTTTCAGGTCTCCTCACACACTGCTGGTGGTTCCATTTTTTGTCATAGGGTGCTGGCAGAGATTACGGGCCTCCCATAGCTGCTGCCAGGCCCCTAATCTGCCATGGGCCCCGTACCGACTCCTCATGCTGCTGCCAGGTCCAGAGTTCTCTCATGGGCCCTGTTGTACGCTGTCCCATTCCGCTCGTGTCAGATGCTCCCACACTCTGCCATGTGCTACTCCTCTTCACAGGTCTCCGTCAGCAGTCTTGGTGAATCCGTTTCCAAGAGACAACAGTTTGCGAGCACGCACCAGACGGTGCTGGAAGACTTACGTCCTCCTGTCCAATTGCTGCTGCCAGGCTCGTAATCTGTCATGGGCCCCCCCTTCCCCCTGTACCGCCTCCTCATGCTGCTGCCAGGTTCCAGAGTGTGTCATGGGCCATGTACCGACTCCTCATGTCTCTCACACAGGTCAGAGTGTGGCATGGTGTCCTTTACGGCCTCCATTGCTGCTGCTGGCCAGGCCCGTAATCTGCCATGGGCCCCGTACCGACTCCTCATGCTGCTGCCAGGCCCGTAATCTGTCATGGGCCCCTGGTACTGCCTCCTCATGCTGCTGCCAGGTCAGAGTGTTTCATGGGTCCCTGTACGGCCTCCCATTGCTGCTGTCTCCATCGCCACACTCGCCATGTGCCACTTTCAGGTCCGGTGATTCTAAGATCGACGGCACTCATTCTGCATTGTCATACTGATGACAGTATTATTTCTCTTCCCCAGCAGACTCAAGGGCATTTAAATTAAAGGTTACAGTGTTCTGCACTTAATATAAAGGCTCTCTGAAGCCTAGAAACACCTTTTTTAGTTAAATTCACAGCGAATATATTCGACTCGAATCGAAATTTTTCCCACGAATTCGCCGAATCAGTCGAATCGAATTTGTTGAATACTTCGCTCATCTCGAATTCTCATCCTCGGTTCTGAAAAAATTTGGAACGCCTTGGTGGTCTTATGCTCACCCCTCACTTCCCGAAATACAGCTTGGGTTCCTACTGCTTTTAAGGGGGGTCCTCGCCCTCAGGTTCTCATATCTCTGATATTTTTTTCTTCTTAACTCGTTTTTCTAACTGTACTTCTATCCTCCTTGATCTTCAGCTATGTTATCCCCCCGCCGTACTTCCCCACAGCCCTCCGCATGGTTTTCTTCTCTGCCACGATTTTCCTCTCGCACCACGATTTACCCCTCATGAATTTACCTCTGCACCACAATTTTATTACCTCTCTGCCACGATTTACCTCTCCGCCATGATTTACCCTCTCTGCCATGAATTTACCTCTCCGCCACGATTTACCTCTCTGCCCGCCACGATTTACCTCTGTGCCACGATTTACCTCTCCACCGTGATTTACCTCTCTGCCACGATTTACTCTCTGCCACGATTTACCTCTCCACGTGATTTACCTCTCTGCCACGATTTTACCTCTCTGCCACGATTTACCTCTCTGCCACGATTTACCTCTGTGCCACGATTTACCTCTGTGCCACGATTTACCTCTCCACCATGATTTACCTCTCTGCCACGATTTACCTCTCTGCCACGATTCACCTCTCCGCCGTGATTTACCTCTGCGCCACGACTAACCTCTCTGCCACGATTTACCCCTCTGCCACGTTTTACCTCTCTGCCACGATTTACCCCTCTGCCACGTTTTACCTCTCTGCCACGATTTACCCCTCTGCCACATTTTACCTCTCTGCACATGATTTACCTCTGCACCATGATTTACCTCTCTGTACCACGATTTACCTCTGCACCATGATTTATCTCTCTGTCATGATTTACCTCTCTGCACCACAATTTACCTCTTGCGCTGTGATTTACCTCTCTGCACGATCTACCTCTGCTGCGATTTACCTCTCTGCCATGATTTACCTCTCTGCACCACGATTTACCTCTCTGTCATGATCTACCTCTGCTGCGATTTACCTCTCTGCCACGATTTACCTCTGCTGGGTATGTCACTCCGGTTCGTGTTGCTCTGGTTGGGACACTCTTTTGTTGAAGGTTTATCTGTTTATGTTGTATTGTATTTCTGACATCCAGTCCCCTACGTGGGACCTTCTGTTCTAAATGTTTGTAACTTGTTATATTTTCAAACAAGAAAAAAAGAAAAAAAATCGAATTTGTAATGAAAATGATTGTACCAGAAGTTAGAAGGTGATTGGCTCCCGTGGCCGAGCTGCACCGCGTTCTAAGATCTCCAGTTTTTAGTAAATCTCCCCCAAAATCTATGTAAATAGAAAGCGATCGTTGGCTTTGCCTGGCCGGCTTTGCAGGAAGCAGCAACTAAACACTTTCCTGAATCTGTAACCCTGACTTTCCATCTGATGGTAGATGTCCACCATGTCTTCTCCTTCATGGGGGGATGAATAGGAGATCATGGATGTTCATGGTTCTTACATACGTGTCCTCGGGGATATGGATTCATTTTCCATTACAGAAAACAGTATGAAAGTGATTCCGCCTGTGCACAGTGCCGGTACAATACACATTTCTGTTCCCTGCCCCCTCCTAGTCTGATAAAGGGGACTTATGGATTCATGAAATGCTTTGAAAGATGGCGGAGAGATCCTCCATAATGTACCGAATGTCATTCCAGAGGTACGCCCCCCCCCCCCCTCAGTCTATTATGAATGGTGCTGCTAGACTCATACACCTTACCAACCAATCAGCAACTGCTGCAACTCTCTGCCAATCCCTCCACTGGCCTCCACTCAGTGTCCTCCACCCCTCTCTGCCAATCCCTCCACTGGCCTCCACTCAGTGTCCTCCACCCCTCTCTGCCAATCCCTCCACTGGCCTCCACACAGTGTCCTCCACCCCTCTCTACCAATCCCTCCATTGACCTCCATTCAGTGTCCTCCACCCCTCTTTGCCAATCCCTCCACTGGCCTCCACTCAGTGTCCTCCACCCCTCTCTGCCAATCCGTCCACTGACCTCCACTCAGTGTCCACCCCTCTCCCAATCCCTCTGACCTCCATTCAGTGTCCTCCACCCCTCTCTGCCATCCCTCCACTGACCTCCACTCAGTGTCCTCCACCCTTCTCTGCCATTCCCTCCACTGACCTTCACTTAGTGTCCTCCACCCCTCTCTACCAATCCCTCCACTGACCTCCATTCAGTGTCCTCCACCCCTCTCTACCAATCCCTCCACTGACCTCCATTCAGTGTCTCTACCAATCCCTCCACTGGCCTCCACTCAGTGTCCTCCACCCCTCTCTGCCAATCTCTCCACTGACCTCCATTCAGTGTCCTCCACCCCTCACCCCCTACCAATCCCTCCACTTGGGCCTCCACTCAGATCTGTGTCCTCCACCCCTCTCTGCCAATCTCTCCACTGACCTCCATTCAGTGTCCTCCACCCCTCTCTGCCAATCTCTCCACTGACCTCCATTCAGTGTCCTCCACCCCCCTCTACCAATCCCTCCACTGGCCTCCACTCAGTGTCCTCCATCCCCCTCTACCAATCCCTTCACTGGTCTCCACTCAGTGTCCTCCACCCCTCTCTGCCAATCCCTCCTCTGGCTTCCACTAACCCACCGTATAAAATTCAAAATACTAACCACAGCTTACAAAGCCATCCACAACACTGCCCCAGCTACATCACCGACCTCATCCACAATATCGCCCAAATCGCCCGCTCCGCTCCTCCCATGATATCCTCCTCTCTAGCTCCCTCATCACCTCCTCCCACACTCACCGCCAGGACTTCTCCAGAGCCTCTCCCATCCTCTGGAACTCCCTACCCCAGCATGTGTGGTCAGCCCCCACCCTGTCTGCCTTTAGGCGATCTTTGAAAACTCACTTCTTCAGGGAAGCCGACCCCACCCCCACCTAAGAACTGTACTTGAATCACCTCTACCAGATTATCCACCGCAGCTATCACCTTTTGTATCACCTCCCCCTTCCTTTAGATTGTAAGCTCCACGAGCCGGGCCCTCCTATTCCTTCTGTACTGAAATGTATTGTAATTGTACCGCCCCCCTTATATTGTACAGCGCTGTGCACACTGTTGGCACCATAAATCCTGTATAATAATAATAATGTCCTCCTGGAGCTTTTGTTTCAAGTGTTTCCGGCACCATCCCGAATTCTGCTTCAGAGGATATAAATATTGACTAAGCCACTCTGACTGACTTTGGGGCCACCAGCAGGTCTCCCCGTCCTTCAGATCTTCCACATTTCCCTGGAGGAACGAGAAGATTTGAATTCTCTTCGCCTTGCGCTCAGCATTCATCCTTTTCTTTGCTTTGCTTTAACGTATTCGCAGAAATGCGGCTATAACTGACGGATTATTGACTTTACCCCGAGAGCTGCCCAGCAAATAATTCAACATTTTTAAAGAAATCCCGGAGATATGTGAAGATTCAAACAAATATCTTTACTGAGCTAAAGATCCAAACAGGGAACAGAAGAGACGATGTCAATAGCAGGCACAAGAGTGTATGATGGAAATGTCCAAATAAACCATTTGGTGTCGATTTAATAAAAAAAAAAAAAATTGCATAGCCATTGACCCAATGAATCTGCATGTGCATTTGTTTTGTGTCAGTTGGACAAAAATGAATATCATTCGGCTATTTTTACCTCCAAACCCACATGGAAGAAAAATATATTTGAAATAAATTTAAAATATATTCTTCCAAAATATATTGACATATAATTGAAATGCTACATTTTTGGCCGTATTCAATATATTTCTATATATTGAAGAATATATTTAAAAAATATATTTTTAAAAAATATGTACATTTTTAAAATATATTCTTCAGATTGTTTTTTAACATATAAAAAGTCATTTAACATATATACAGGTGAAACTCGAAAAATGAGAATCTGGTGCAAAAGTTGATTTATTTCAGTGCAGCAACTTAAAAGGTGAAACTAATATATGAGACTCATTACATGCAAAGCAAGATAGTTCAAGCCGTGATTTGTCATCATTGTGATGATTATGGCTTACAGCTCATGAAAACCCCAAATCCACAATCTCAGAAAATGAGAATATTGTGAAAAGGTGGAATAATCTCGGCTCAAAGTGTCCCACTCTAATCAGCTCATTCAGCCATAACACCTGCAAAGGGTTCCTGAGCCTTTAAATGGTCTCTCAGTTGGTTCAGTAGGAATCACAATCATGGGAAAGACTGCTGACCTGACACCATCACTGACACCCTCCATAAGGAGGGAAAGCCTCAAAAGGGAATTGCAGAAGAAGTTGGATGTTCCCAAAGTGCTGTATCAAAGCACATTAATAGAAAGTTATGTGGAAGGGAAAAGTGTGGAAGAAGAAAAAGGTGCACAAGCAGCAGGGATGACCGCAGCCTGGAGAGGATTGTCAGGAAAAGGCCATTCAAAAGTGTTGGGGGACTTTCACAAGGAGTGGACTGAGGCTGGAGTCAGTGCATCAAGAGCCACCCACACACAGACGGATCCTGGACATGGGCTTCAAATGTCGTATTCCTCTTGTCAAGCTGCTCCTGAACGACAAACAATGTCAGAAGCGTCTTACCTGGGCTAAAGAAAAACAGACCTGGTCTGCTGCTCAGTGGTCCAAAGTCCTCTTTTCTGATGAGAGCAACTTTTGCATCTCATTTGGAAACCAAGGACCCCGAGTATGGAGGAAGAATGGAGAGGCCATTCAAAAGTGTTGGGGACTTTCACACAAGGAGTGGACTGAGTGCTGGAGTCAGTGCATCAAGAGCCATCACACACAGACGGATCCTGGACATGGGCTTCAAATGTCGTGTTCCTCTTGTCTTTTATTGAAATATATTTTGAAATATATTGAATATGGCCAAAATTGTAGCATTTCAAATATATGTCAATATATTTGGGAAGAATATTTTTAAAATATATTTCAAATATATTTTTCTTCCATGTGGGAACTCCCCGGTGTTTTGAACCCCAGCAGAAGCCCACCGGCAAAACACATTGGAAATGTGACATCACCTCTCCAACTTGAGACTACTTTATGATATACCAGCAGATGACATGATAGATATTGTGTGGAATAAATGGCAGGAGAGGGGTTGGGGTTCTCTGTAATGAAGGTTGTGCTGAGAGGAGGAGTTTCAGGAGGCGGAGTCAGGACAGGAATCAGCAAGATACCATTTAATATGTAGTCCTTAGAATTGGAGGAGGAGATGCAAAGAATGCTGGGAGTCCAGGAACCCACATGGAAGAAAAATATATTTTAAATATATTGTAAAAAAATATTCTTCCAAATATATTCACATATATTTGAAATACTACAATTTTGGCCGTATTCAATATATATATATATATACACATTATGGTTGAACTGGATGGACTTTTGTCTTCTTCCAGCCATGACTAACTATGTAATATATATATATATATACATACATGTATGTTGAAATGCATTTTTATATATTACATAATATATGAAAAATATATTTTAAAATATATTCTTCAGATTTTTTTTAACATACAAAAAAAACATTTTAAACATATATTTTTACATATATAAAAATATTCTTCCCAAATATATTGCCATATATTTGAAATGCTCCAATTTTGGCCATATTCAATATATTTCAATAATAAAAAAAAAAAAATATATATATATATATATATATATATATATATATTTTATATATACACACTGTATGTTGAAATGCGTTTTTATTACAAAATATATGAAAATATTTTTAAAATACATTTTCAAACATACTGCATGTCTTTAAAATTCATTTAATCTACACTTTTTGGAATGCATTTACAAATATATGTAAAAATATATGTTAAAATGACTTTTTTTTATATGTTAAAAAATCTGAAGAATATATTTAATAAATATATATTTTAAAAATATATTTTTCATATATTTTGTAATATATATAAAAAAACGCATTTCAACCTGCAGTATTTTGAAATATACTGAATATGGCCAAGATTGTAGGATTTCAAATATAGGTCAATATATTTGGGAAGAATATTTTTAAAATATATTTAAAATATATTTTTCTTCCATGTGGGAAGTTGTGGAAATTGGTGGCCCACAGACAGGCAGCGCTCACAGAATGAAAGGAGATTTTTCAGGTAATCTCATACTGGATTGTCAGATAAAACCAGGGATTTTTTTTCAGTGGGAACTGAACTATGTAATGGCAAAGGGTGCTACAGAATATATTGATGGTGGCTGCTGGAAGAGATCTTTTTTTGCGGGAAGGGGGGGGGGGGGGGGGGGCTATTGCTGTTGGTGGGGAATCTGTTGTTGCTGGGGGTGGGACAATTGTTGTGAGGAGGATTCTACTGTTGAGGGAGGGGTCTATTGATGCTGGGGGTATTTTGTGGTGGGTGGTCCAGTGTTGCTGGGGAAGGTCTATTGTGGCGGAGAGTCCACTGTTTCTGGTGGGTATCTATTGTTGCGGGGGGGTCCACTGTTACTGGTGGGTGTCTATTGTTGTGGGGGGTCTATTGTTGCTGGGGGGATCTATTGTTAATGGGGGGGATATATTGTTGTGGGTGGTCCAGTGTTGCTGGGGGAGGTCTATTGTTGCAGAGAGTCTTTTGTTACTACCATAGGTCTATTGTTGCTGGGGGTCCACTGTTACTGGTGGGCAGGGGCGGACTGACAACTCATGGGGCCCCCGGGCATTAGAAGATCATGGGGCCCCTGTGTCCTTGCCCACACTCAAAGCACACCCAAAAAAGCCTATAAAAGGTACCAGAGGCATTTCATGGGGCCCCCTACTGACCCTGGGCCCTCGGGCAGTGCCCGAGTACTCGAATGGTCAGTCTGCCTCTACTGGTGGGGGTCTATTGTTGGTGGGGGGATCTATTGTTAATGGGGGGGCTATTGTTGTGGGTGGTTCAGTGTTGCTGGGGAGGTCTATTGTCGCAGAGACTCTATTGTTGTGGGAGATCTTTTGTTACTACCATAGGTCTATTGTTGCTGGGGGTATTTTGTTGCGGGTGGTCCATTGTTGCTGGGGGGATCTATTGTTCCTGGGGGTGTCTATTGTTGTGGGTGGTCCATGTTGCTGGGGGAGGTTTATTGTTGCAGAGAGTCCACTGTTTCTGGTGAGTATCTATTGTTGTGGGGGGTCCACTGTTGCTGGTGGGTGTCTATTGTTGTGGGGGGTCCATTGTTGCTAGGGGGATCTATTTTTCCTGGGGGGGTCTATTGTTGTGGGTGGCCCAGTGTTGCTGGGGGATCTATTGTTCCTGGGGGCTATGGTTGTGGGTGGTCCAGTGTTGTTAGGGGAGGTCTACTGTTGCGGGAGATCTTTTGTTGCTACCATAGGTCTATTGTTGCTGGGGGTATTTTGTTACGGGGCGGTCCATTTTTGCTGGGGGTATCTATTGTTCCTTGGGGGGGCTTATTGTTGTGGTTGGTCCAGTGTTGCTGGGGGATGTCTATTGTTGCGGAGAGTCCACTGTTTCTGGTGGGTATCTATTGTTGTGGGGGGTCCACTGTTGCTGGGGGGGATCTATTGTTGTGGGGGGGGTGTTGTTGCTGGGGGATCTATTGTTGTGGGGGGGGT